AGAGAGAAGCGGAGAGAGAGAGAGAGAGAGAGAGAGAGAGAGAGAGAGAGAGAGAGAGAGAGAGAGAGAGATTGAACGAAAGAGCATCGGATCGGATCGTGGCAAAGCTCACCGGAGTGAGAGCGACACCGTCGCTCGGGTTCTCGGATTCCTGGCGGGCACGCATGTGCCGACTTTTTCGATTCGTCATAGGTACATCGAGGTAGATCCTTCGAACGGATAAGGATGGACCTCCCAGGCCTCGTGGGCTCGGGTCGGCATTAAACGCACCCGGACAGCTCGACACTTGTTAAAACGCGGGAGACTGCCAAGACCGGAATAAAGCCGTTCATCGCCTCATCCCTCCCTTCTTTATTCATTCTTTGGACATTGCTCGCGCTCAGCTGCTAAATACCAATCCATATTTTCTCGTTCCTCTCTCTCTCTCTCTCTCTCTCTCTCTCTCTCTCTCTCTTCATCTCTTCATCTCAGAATGGTTCGCCTAGGCCCTTGGCTTTGACCAGCGATTATGGACAAGAGTGGATACTTAGTATCGCATTGGGCGTTAAGTAGGTGGAAATTACCAGGTATTAAGTGTCGAACCATAGAAATATCTAAGTACGCGTGGATAGTTACGTCAGTATGGTGGTTAGAATACCATTTCCCAATTACATATATGTATATATTATGAGAATTAGATGAAAGATGAGCTATAACGTTATTAAAATTAATAATCTTGTAATGATCTATATCGAATAAATCTATTTGCATCTCACTTGAAATTACAATTCCAACATTCGACAATTATTGACGAATGGTATTTATCGTTAATCGGTTGTATTATTTATTTTCAAATTAACGATGATGGCAATAACGATTTACTCTGCTCTTCCTATCCAATATTTAGCCGAGCATTGTGCATTTAACGACACATTTAAAATATATAATTACAACGAAAATACAATTCGTAAAGTACTTGATACCTATGTTACTTACATCCTGTTATGCACGCTCATTTCCTTATCGACGTTATCAAAAGAAAAAAAAAAAGAAAAAAGAAAAAAAAAAAAAGAAGAAAAAAAAACCTTGGTATTTACAAATAAATACACGTAGGGAGAATAACACGTAGACTTTTCTTTATGAGGACGAGCTTCTTTTTGCCGTAATGAAGGAGAAAAGGAAAGAAGTAAAACGAAGTAAATACCGAGAAAGAGCTCCCTTGAAAAGTGGAGCGCGCTGGTGCCGAAGGAGGGAGCATCCGCAATCAGTTGGCGTGATTCTAGCTTCTTTCCGATAATGTCCGGCATTAAAAGCGAATTCCGAATAATGAGGATTGTTATGTGCTTCTATTAACTCTGAATTGCAGCGGCGCAGGCCTACACCAGGAGCTGCTCCGGGGCTCGTAAAGGGCCTACCCGCGATAAGGATCCGACAGTCGTGCACACGCACACACGTGCGCGTACGGTAATTTAAATGGGCAAATAATTCGTAGCCATTATTGCCGCGTCACTATATGTATACCTATCTTCCTTCCTTTAACAATAGCGCGTGTAGAGCTTTATGCGACGCTTTAAGTACACTCTCTAACAATAATTTCCCTCTATTAAGACCATTTTAAACGCTTGATTGTATTATAGATGGTTTTCGCCACTTGTATCGCATTTCTATCCCGAGATGTCAGAATGAAAATGATCCCTTGATAGAGCGAACGGTTTTCTTTCGCCTGTATCACGTTGTTTGCACTAGTCCGCCCGGCAGTTTTCTCGCAAATGCAATTTAATAAGTGGGGAAATCTGCTTTCGCTCCTTAATCAATTGTTCACTTATATAATTCCAAACTGGTATTTGTCACTCCATATGCCATGCTATCGCGATATCGGATTGCTCCGTAAAATTTAATAACGGATTTTCCATCGCTACCACATTTACGCACGATTATTGAATATTCAAGTATCCAACAAAGCATGCAAACTATGAATTTTTAACTTAAACTTCTTATACTATAATTAATAATAATAATTTATATGGCAAAACCGACTGGCTCCTAGAAATATATAGTAACCCGGGAGAGAACGACGATGCCAATCTGGTAATTTGTAATACCTTTCCGTAATATATGCTTACGAAGCGGGCTTTAATGGAAAAGGCAAGCAAGCTATTAGAGAAGCCATTGAGGTTTAAAAAAAAAAAATTGCACAAACATGTGATATCACACGTGGCATTTAAACTACATATTGGAAAAAAAGGGAGAGCATTGAAAAATGTCGAAGCTCGTTAATTAGACGCGGATGCGCGATAAGGCTGAATTATCTACTACGATTGATTATAATTTCAATAAGCCTGGATTATAGTAATTGATGGTGGGCAACGTATGCGACAGATTAAGGAACGATGATCGGCGAATTGGGGCGTGATATCGTCGTAGACGAGCGAATTAATGTCACCGTCGAGATGACTCGCGTAAAGCTGTCGTCGATCCTCCAGGCATACCAGTATGATACCGCGACAATTTTCCCGCTGCCCGTAGGCGCTCTTTCACTTCCGGAAAGTCAATGCTCGCTCAAGTATTTACCAGCCCATTAGTCGAGTGAACTCGAGAAAAGACGAAGAGGTAGAAGGAGAAAAGGAGCATAGGATCAAGCCACTGATCTTGGGCGCGTGTGCATTGAAAAGACTGGGAACACCGAATGATAAAATCACATGTTTATTGCGAGCTTATGATAATTAATAAAGCTCGATACGTACAACTGAATATTAGTGAAAGAGGTACTTTTTTTTTTCTTCAAAGGAAAGCTTCTATTGCTTTGCGAAAATAGGTTGAGAAGTAGATTGCGCGCAGCTACTTATGCAGGCAATAATGCCTTTGTATTATTTTTCATAGATAAGGTGCTTTATACGATTGTCGAGTATTTTCCTTCTAAAAACACAAGGCGAGAACTTTTCCAATTTTTTCTTCATTATGCTTATCATAGATTACACGTATTGCGTGTATAACAGGTTTACGCACTTAATACGTTAATTTATTAAATCAATATCCTTCTGTATGTATGATTTTTGGCTAGAGGTTTGCGATGTACATGTACATGCGCATATATATGGACTAAGCGAATTAATTGCATAATTGGCAAACTTATAGGTATGAGTAGACTTTAGCTTCCTTCATCATTTCATTGCAACTACAGTACTATTAGCGTGCATAATAATACCTTCCGGCAATATGTATTAAAATGAGTTTTGTTATTGATATTATAATTGTATTTAACATATTTGTGTCCTAAAGTAAAGTAGAAAATGTTGTTTAACCAATGGCTAATAAATAAATCCATCGTAATCCCATTGTCTATTAATAAGTTGGAAAAGTGGTCTTTCTAAGTGACGTACAGTAATTCAAAGACAATTAATCGTTATTTTTATTTATTTGCATATAACAAAACAAATGCTTCCTAAATGTCAACTCAGTAAGATTAATGAACGAAATTAGATATAAATTTGATCCAATTATTTTGATAAATCCAAAATTTTTCTACTCATTAACTTACAATTAATCGACAAATTAATGTCCTATTTTTCCACATAAATAAACTTTTGTCATAATTATATGCGAAACTTAATTTAATATTAAAAAGTAACTACAAAATAAACTTTTCAAGATAGATATCAATCTGTAGGATTTTTAATTTATATCGGATTTTAATGGGACTCGTTTGAAATCGTAAAACGAAACGACCAATTACCGAATTTTCGAAAATGGTGTTTGATCGTACGTACATGCATTTCAACGCCTCGTACCGACGATTAAATCCGGCCACTAAATATCTAATAAAATCGTAATTAATAAGAATTAGGAGTGATATTAGGAACAATGGCTGTAGATTAATTGTGAGTATAAAAATAGAGAATCCAGCGTAGTCGCGTGCAAATTAATGGCCGACATTTTGAAAATAAAGGTCCTCCTTGCGCGTAATATCAATTGCGCGAAACGAAACGAGCAGCAAATGAGCAAACCAATGTGCTTACGACACAAGGCCCTTAGCAAAAATCTCGGATTTGCTGTCCCTCCTTCTCTAGAAAAATCGATGATCGCTCTATCAATCAAAGGCACCTTTATGTTTACACAGATTTCCCGTAATTATACAGGGCCGCGTGGCCCTCGAGTATAACCCTAAATCAAATATGTCTTTATCTCGCTTTACTCGTGGCTCGAGTCATTAGAAGCACGAAGCCATTCCTCTCGTAAAATAAATCAATTACCAGGGCCTCATCAATGCTCGTAAAATGTGCTTATAATAGCGGTGTCGGGGCCCCGTGAGGAACCCCAAATCAGAAATTAAAAAGCCAGAGCGATCCTTTCTTGCATCGCGAGATTTATACGTTTATAACTGATGTATTCCGAGGTCTGGTGATCGCCTCCTAGACCCCGGCATCAGACTAACGCGATTTATGTCCCTCATCGGCGCGACGGCCTGCCTTCCGGGCACCTTCTAAAGGTTCCCACGTGTCCTCGCTGCGCGTATCCTCCCGCGCTACATTCCGATGCAAATACCAGGGAGCCCGCTAATTCGTCCTCGGGCCTTATCAGACTTACGGAATCATCAAGGAAATCTCGCGAGGGGAGCCAAGGCGATTCGACCGGAAGCTCGCTTAAGGCCCCCACCTAAGTCGGCCCAATCCTACCGGGAACGCCTTGATTAAGTTGCAGCAGCTGCTAGGTAGGCTAACGCTAACTAGGGTGAAATCTGTCACATTAGGCACATTAGGCATATCCAGTCCAGATCGGGGAGTGTCCCGCCTCCTCTTGTCCTCCGCTCCTAATTGACTCCTAATTGATAGTCAACAGTCCCACTATTAACATCACGGAGAGCTCGTAACTTGCAACATTAGGGACAGTTGCAACATACCTATGCTAAAATAATAATTTAATACACCAATTAAGCAGGCAAACAGAATCGGCTCTCCCGATAAGCCGATTTCATCGATTGGCAGTCGATACTGAAAGCGCCCCTACGTTTCTGATGGTTTCAGGGTGGTCGGAGCCGCGGTGGTCGGAGCGGCGGTGTGCGCCCGTATCCCAGGACTGGGCAAGAGTCAGCGAGAGTTGTGCAGAAAGGTGCCGTACGCGATGCCGGCAGTCGGTGAAGGCGCCGAGCTTGGGCTGAAGGAGTGTCGGCACCAGTTCCGGCACCATCGCTGGAACTGCTCGCACGTCGTGGAGAACCAGATTTTCGGCCACGTCGTCGTAGTCGGTGAGTACGCGATCCCTTCGCAAGCTCCGGGAGAGCGTAAGCTCGTTTACGTTCAAGGCACAAGACCATCGAATGGCTGGCTCATTAATGTTGAGCGCCACTGCTTGCAATATTTTCTATGGCGCTGTAACCCGAACGTAAACGTGATGCGAATACAGGGACAAGAAGAGCTTCGGTTCTGCCATATTTATTAAAGTGCACAATTTTTATTGATATATTGTATTTTGGGCGGGGGAGGGATGGAGGGGGTATGGGTTTGTTTTTACGGGGTGTGTATCTGTTTTCTATTATTAGCTGTATTAATTCCGATTGTGAATAAAATTGTTTTTCAAGATTTTCAGAATTCGAACGCGCGAGAGGGCGAAAAGTTAGTTGTCGTGTTTGTTCCGTAATGGCGAATATTTGTGATAAAATGAGTTTGGATGGAAAAGTTGAGATTAGTTGGTTTTTTCCGTGAATTAAAAATATTTTTTGTTGCGCAGGTGTGTACCTTAATTGTGCATACATTTCAATTTTTTATCATTTTGGATGATTGGCTGGGTGAGAGAGCTATAGATACAGAGGGAGAGAGAGAGAGAGAGAGAGAGAGAGCTATAGATACAGAGGGAGAGAGAGAGAGAGAGAGAGAGAGAGCTATAGATACAGAGGGAGAGAGAGAGAGAGAGAGAGAGAGAGCTATAGATACAGAGGGAGAGAGAGAGAGAGAGAGAGAGAGAGCTATAGATACAGAGATAGAGATAGAGAGAGAGAGAGAGAGAGAGATTGATGAAAAGTTCGGGCAGAATTTTAGGAGAAACATCGAAGACTCCCACGCACGGCTTAACGAGTCCGAGGGCGACAATGAGCCGACAATTAAGCCATAACTATTGGGCCCTCCTGTCTCAGATACGAAAATCATTCTTTCCATCGCACGACCCACGCACTTTTCAACAAGCTCGAAATATTTCTTATCATTAAAGTGAATTAATAGTCGATCGTAAAGTATAAGTTATACTCCTGTCGTATAAATCGGCAAAGTCAATGAGCCATGCGAAATTCGCTATCTATTTGTCGCGTATCTCGCTCGCTTATTCGTGTTTCTCTATATTGTAACGAGTTTCTCATTCGATCGTAGTGGTAAAAAATCCTCTAAATTCAATCAACGTTCCTCAAATAAGTATCTATCAATTTTCTAAAGATTTTTTTGCGCTTGACATTGAGTTCATACCTCCCAATTATAATCGTACAATTGTAGAAAGAACTTAATATTTTTGCCTTTTGAAATGAATGTGTTGTTATATAAATGTTATAGTGATCTACATAGCATATAAATGTTATAACCTTGTCTATTACTTAGCATTAGGATGTAATTAATTAATTAGTTTAACACTTGTTACTAATTATATGCGGTTAAAATCTAATGGTACAATAAATTCCAAAAAATTTGAAAATAAAAGAGAATCGTAATGTTGATATATTTTTATTCTGCAAATTATGTTTTGTTTTTTTGTTTGCTCTTCACCCCCCCCCCCCTTCCCAAAATTAACATAAATAATAGTAAACGCAAAAAAAGTAACGGGTGTAATCGTAAAATTTATCGTGAAAAATCAAAAAGTTTTATTGCACAATAATTTAGTAACAAAGCCGGTTAGAAAACTAGTTTTCATGTAAAAAGAATGTACAAAAGTGTCTTTTATATGCCTTAAATCTAAATAATTTCAATAACCCAATCAAATTAAATATTAATAATTGTATTATTGTTGAACATAGCTTAAAGATTTACGATCTAGTTAACAATCTTAAATTAATTACAAACTTTATGGGGGAGAAATTTCAAATAACGTGCTCGTACAGCTGCGCACACGTTGACAGATGTACAGGATAATGCGAAAGGCAGAAGGAAAATGTGACGCGATCCTCTTGCGTAAATATCGTTTAATGCTTGTTATTTGTCATGAAAATATTAGAAATCACAGCCTGAAAGCCACGTAGCTATTTGACTTCGTAGCCTTGTACGGAAGGAAGTATGGATAGTCGTGTAAATGATTTGTCGCGATTAGGCGCAGATTAGCGACAGATAAATCTGTACTATTGGAAATTAAAATAGGTCAGTTATCAATTTCTTAAGTGACAATATCATTTCACCATTTAATTATATTACGTAAACGAATAGAGCAATGGGAATATTGTCGAAACTCTCGTAAGCACATCTATATGTCTTTATTTAAATAATTGGTTGTAAATTATATCCTAAATAGTTAGATGATGGACGTTTATATACTCGAACCAATCACATTTTTTTTTTTTTTTAAATTTATGCAATATTACCATAATAACGTGAACTTTTAGAAATTAAATGTGAAATAAACAATTACGGAATAGGGAATAGGTTCCGGTGAAGGATGAGAGAGCACAGGATTGATTTATGTGATTGATGGTGGAGAAAAAAAAGTAGATATTGGTTAACCTAAACCGAAAGTTTTAATCGTAAATAATATTTTTCTTTTTTGCTTATTCTTTAATTAATTTATTTATTTATTTATTTATCTTTTATTATTACGTCACATTGTTAATTTCCTGTTGAAATTATTCAATTCGAGCACTATTTTTTTATCGGCCCCCGTGTACACACACACACACACACGCACGCACGCGCGTACGCACGCGCGCACACACACGCGCACACATCTAAAAATTGTTAACTGTACATAAATTTTAACAAACAGACTGCACTGTTGAAAATTAAATGAAAATATTGTTTACCTATTATGCAGTCGTATCGAACGTATAACGCTTTAAATGAAAATTTGCGATATTATATTACATCTTGTTGGCTATGTCGAATTGCGTGAAAAAGTATAATTATCACGGTCCTGATGAGTTTAAAATTAAACATGGCATAACCAATGCCCAAAAACAAAACAAAAAAAGCAATAGTCTATATCTTTTAACCTGCTCATTTCAATACTCCGAAAGTTTGTCGTACGCAACATTAAGGGCTTTTATTACTCATTTAAATATTGCGAAGGTGGCTTTTCTTGTTTATTCTATTTTTGACGGGCGGTAATGCTTGGACTGACTCGATGCAAGATCTCGCAAATACAAAAGACAAAACGAGACCTCGACGACAAAAAGAAGCACTTTAGTTTTTTCATGCGTTTAACTAATCAAAGGCCTTAATTACAGCGGGGCCACTAAAGCGGGGCCCCTTTGTGCAGTAATACAAACCACCGACAAACGTTATGTACACATCGATGCTTCTCATTTGCTTAACACGCAGGAACGTGGCTGCGGTAGAGTTCAATAATCGTCTATTTTGTATTCTCGTTGCAATGAAATGTCGTGGTATTAAATTAGAAACTTCTCTCCCCGACATAATGCTCGTGGCTCGATTAATTATTCATTTTCGCGTATTTCGGCGACCATAGTGTTGGATTGCCAAGCAGTGGTCATAAGGTGCTCGTATAGTAAAATCCATAGACTCGTAAAGGTGATAATGGTGCCGATATAACGAACGTGATTTTTGTAAAAGCAGTCTTGGATTTACAAAAGAAGTTTCACGAGTCCATAGGCCGGACCCATAAAGAAGCTAAATGGACCAAGTGTCTCTTTAATAGCTATTTGTTTTCAATCTACGCGCACTGATCAGCACTGGCAGGCGGTCCCTCGATGCCCAGTGCCAATAACATTCGTAACATTAAGTTGGGCCCCTTAATTAAAAAGTGGCCGGCATGCGCTGAGAGCTTTCGCGAACTCTCGTAAGCCGTGCAAAATCATAAAACCTATTAAATGCGAGGGCAAGCCGAAATGCCGAGGCGTCCGTGTTACACTCGCGCCCACCTTGTCTGCACACCCTGGGACAGCGGAGCAGCCGAACAAGATTACCGAACACCATATTCTCAGCTCGCTCCATTAGTCGCGCGCCCACGAGTGACGGACGTTTCTTCGCTCATCCCCGGCGCTCGCAATTTAAAGGTTCGCACGGCCGCAGGAGGAATTGCGTTTTCGTGCCCCTTGCGTGAGAGCGAGCCGACTACGTACGAGCCGTCGTACGAGAGCGAGAGCCTCGACAAAAAAGCTCCGCAGCCAGGGCTCCGGATATCGTGAGCCCTGGCGTGGGATACATTTGACAGTCGCGTCCTTCGTTTTCTCCCTGGGCCCTTTCGCCTTTCTGACCTCGCTCGCTCTCATCTTTGTATTTTTGAAACTTTGGTCGTCTCGCGATAGCTGCACCTGGATTCGCTTTAAGCGTGCCTTCCGGATAACTTAACACGACATTTATCTTTCGACATTTATCTTTCGCCATTTATCCACGCGAGCTTCACACGGACACTAGTCTTCGTGACTTTTGCTGCCTTCAGTCCGTTAAGACGAATGATTAATGATTTAATCATTATACGCCAATAGTTTTAGTAAATAAAAATCAAGGATTGAACTGCATTATGCACACCTCCGATTAGGCATGACGGCTGAATCTATTAATTGAACGATACTTTATACTATCTCTTTAATCGGCGCAATATACCGCTTAAGAATATAGCGTAGGAGGGTTCTTGGATGTTTTAGGGATAAAAATGTATTGTATTTAAAGGATATCATTTATGTTTAAATTTACATTTATATTTCGATATCAGCTTTCAAATTGCCATTGCCGGCTTCTTTTTTGGTTTTTTTTTTGTTTTTTTGTTTTTTTTTTTTTTGTTTTGTTGCATTTTTTCTTTTGTTTTTATACATAATTTGACATTATAAAGGATGTTTGTGAATGATTTACATAATTTATTAGTCCGAGAAACAAAACTCGCCGTATGTGGATTTGAAAGTTCTTTGACATTATGCATTTCGATAAAAGACTTACCTCGACATTACATTATTTTAACTATTTACCTATATATTTGAAATAGGCTTAGGGATCTTTTTTCTCTATAATAAAGAAATTTATTTCTTTTGAAATGATAGGCATATATAAGGGAATATTTACAATAAAAAATATACTCTAACATTTTAATTTTCAAAACTTAATC